CGCTCAGAGGCTGCAGGGTGCCCTTCACGCACCCCCATGCTCCCAAACACAACTTGCCCTCGATAGATCTTTGTCCCTTTTAAACTCTACTGGAGTTGAGCCAGGAGTGGAATTGAATGAAAGGAAACTAAGCAGCTTCTCATAGCACATGGCTCAGCCCGACCTGAAGGAAAGCACAAGCCAGAACCATCTCGGGAAGGCAAGGGCGATGTCATCCTAATGAATGTTCTTAGTGAATTCTGTTTTTTTTTAACGGTATCCCAAGATCAGTCCTCCCGGCTGTAAGTGGCTATGAAACCGACCACCTTGAAATAAGGATTCTGATTTTCCTAAGCCTCCAGAAACTAGAGTCATCCCAGAGAGACGGGTAATTTCAGAGACTGTACCCCCGAGATGTCCCCTGTGGGAGTGCTTGTCAGCTATGATCTGGCTTCCCAATGCGCTCAGGGAGTCCTGCCACCTCTCTTCTGCCTCCTCCAGAACCATCTGGATGACTCCTAAAGAAATATTCTTCTCCTCTCTGCTTCCTTCTCACCCACTCGGCTCTTCTGACACCTTATTTGTTTAAATGGATCAAACTTTCTTCCTCCCTAAAGCCCAGGAGTTGGTGTCAACATTCAAAACCATGACAGAATCCTTAGATTTGGGGAATAAAGCACCTCCTGTCTGACTTTCCTTTCTTCATCCAAATATTCCACCTACGGGCTAATTCCCGGAAGCAAACTCCTCCACCTCTGAGGGCGCTCTACTGGGTGCACGGGAGACCACTTGCTATCTGTGGACAGAGCCAGTAACTGAGCCAGGCAGTCATCCTTTAGAGACTGTGGGCAATGTCACCTCCAGTCCAAAGCAAAAGGCAGCGTTCCAGTTACTATTAAGACACGAGAGAAGAGACAAGCTGCCCCCTGCAAGTGAACTTCCTCTTCCGTTCAACTGTGCAAAGGCCACAGAAGGCTTTTTGCGCTAGAATACGCGAGAGCTCCGGCCTCTGACACTGTCTTCTTTCTCCCTGTCCACTCTCTTGCTGAAGAGCAAGACACACAGCAAGGAGACACGATCACCATGGGCTGACTGTGTCCCTAGCAGAGTTCAGAGCAGTCTCTGCCCAAAGCCCTGTTTTCCATTCAAGGTAGAGTAGCCAATTAACAAATGCCACAGTGGTGGCAGGAAGAGTTAATGTGGATCCCACAGAATGCTTTAACCTAATCCCCAGGGCTCAGCCAGGTCAGAGATGACAAGTATGGAGCATGAATGCTATTGCCTCCCTTTCCCTTCCTGTGGCAGCCATCACTATTCGATCACAGCTCTCTGCTGCTACCGAAACCAACACACCCAATAGACCTTATCAGTCGATCACCAATTCAAGCCCGGGTTGCTGAAAATCTTGCCAGCCCCATGCAGTCAGATCAAGCTTGCTAATGTTAGAAGCAAAGGAGCAAGCTCTTTGGGCTCATCCAAAGCAGATGGTCCTGGTTTCTCTTGCCCTCCTCCAAAGCATCCGGATGACTTCTAGGGAAATGCTTCCTTCCCGGTCTGCTCCCCACTCCCACCAAGCGCCAGCCAACACCATCCTCCCTGGGCAGCTGGTCCTCTAGGAGGTGCTGTATGCAAATGCCAATTAGGACCCAAATTCCGACTAGCAGTTGGCAGAACTGGCTGGGCGCCTGCTTCTCCCTTTTAGGTGCTGGCTCAAGGCTGTCAACTTGGCCAAGCCAGACGGCGCCAATCCTTTTTCAGTCTGTTGTCCCGGCCAGCAGAGAGGTAACCAGCCTGTCAGCACAAGCCCTGCGGCCCTTCCTCCCTCGCCCCCACCCACCCCATCCCCGGGGCCCCCAGAGGGCTAGTTGAGCTTGCTGCAAATCTCCAGCGCTTTCTTGTAGACCTGAGTCACGTCGTCCATGTCCGTGAGGAGGGAGAAGCTGCTGTCTGCCAGCCGGTTCCGGTACCGCTTCAGGTACTGGGGCCGGGGCCGGTTGTGGAGTCCTTCAAAGTCCTGGATCTGGAGGAAGTTCTCAGCAGAGACGCAGCTGCGGATGCGCTGGCGGGCGGGGCGGTTCTCCTGCAAATCCAACAAGTCCAAGGAGTCGCTGGACAGGACACTGTCGTCACTGATGACACTGGAGGGACGGCTGTAGCTTCGGGAGAGGCCCTCAGCGGGGACACCGGGCTCTGTCAAGGATTCCAGTGTGGGCACTTCGGGGCTGGCGAGGGCCCGGTCGGTGGCGCCTGCTGAGTATTTGCTGCTGTGTTTCAAGATGCCCTTCCTCCGGCAGGACAGGCTGTGAGAAGCCACCCTGGCCAGGTCCGGGGGGCTGGGGGAGGGGAGGCCACCGCCCATGGCCTCGGTACTGTCCAGCAGCTCCGAAGATTCACTGCGCTCTGGGGACGAGTAGTAACCCGATTCCCTCTGCTGGGTCTTTTTCAAGATGCCTTTCTTGGGCATGGTGGCCGACTGCTTGGGACTCAGTTTCCCTGGCACATCTGCTTCGGGGGAGCTGGGGAGGGGCCCACCAGTCCGGCACAAGTCCTGCTCCATCTTAAAGGAGGGCAAGGTGGGACCCACGACCCCCTCAATGAAGCCCGTGCTGTGGGAGCGGTGCTCACTGTTGCATCTCTTCTTCAGGATGCTCTTGGGCCTCTTGGAACTCAGCTTGGAAGGGCTTTCGGGCACCGAGTCCTGGCCAGACTGGGCAAAGTCATTCTCTTTCTTGGATTTCTTCAGCGACCGCTGTCGCTCCAGCACGACCTCGGGTTTGGCCAAGCCCTTCACCTTGGCTTCCGCCTCAGCCTGCAGCCCGGTGGATCGGTGGTGCCAGTCAATGATCCGGGCCAAGAGCGGGGACTCGGAGTCATGAAGGGCGTCGCAGTCGCAGACGCTGCTCTTGTAGCCCCAGTTCACCCACCAGTGGTTGGCAATGTCCTCAATGGTGGCCCGGCGATCGGGGTTCACCATCAGCATCCACCGAATGAGTCCTCGAGCATCTAGGGGACGAGAGACAGAAAAAGGTCAGGCCATGGCGCGGGGGCTTTGGAGTTTACCAGGAAAAAAAAAAAAAATCCATTTGCAGGTCTGGTCCAGCTACACGTTGGAGCGAGAAGCCCAAGCCTTTCAGACTGCCCATCAGAAGCACAATCAAGGCTTGAAGCACAGGCCATGACATCCCGGCCTGTTCTTCCGTGAGTGAAGGAATGTCATGGAACGACTGAACTTCCGTCATCTCAGGTCTTCCAAGTTCCAAAGAATTCAAACCCCACCCAAGCAGGGACCCCTACTCTTTTGGTGAAGATCATTTTACTCCAAGGAAAAGGTGTCCATCACCATGGCTTTTGTCACTCCTCTGAAGGTGGACGCACCCCGACACAGCACTCGTGGTCACTGGGAAAAAGGAATTGGAGGCAGAGCACAGAGAGGAGCTCTTCTGAGCCAGGAGTGGCTCTTACCTGACACACCTGGGCAGGGAGAGCCGCTGTCCCCAAAACTGGCCTCACCCTGAGGTCTTGGCTAGCTTCTGAGAGCCACACCCAATTTGGGGGAAAAGAAAAAAAAAAAAAAACTTGCAAATTTCTGCTGCCAGAAAACTGGGGGAAAGGCCCAGAGAGATGTTCAGGAGGCTAGAGAACAAAATTAGTGACTTCTACAGCTAATAAGTTGACTTTTGGGGTCAAACCATTCAGCCCCCACAGGAGATGAATTCTATCTTGGGAAGTTGCCGCCTCCCTGAGCCACTCGTACAGCAATGAGCAGCTGGCAAAGACCCAGTAGTGGGGTTGGGGTGAGAGGCACCCCTGAAAAGCAATAGGGTGATCCTTCAGTCATTCAAAAAGCATTTCCTAAACCCCTACCACATGCCAGAGATTTCACTGGCACCAGTTAGCTAGTGAGGTAAATAAGAACCGCCACAGACGTCACCCTGAAATTCCCCCAAAAAGAACAGACTGGTTTATTGAAAAAACACACAGACAGATAGACATGTGCATATCGATAGAGACAACAGTCAGTCCTCATTATCCACGGATTCCATATTTGCCAATTCTCCTACTCACTAAAATGTATCTATCGTCCCACAATCAAACCTCGCAGCTCCATGGCCATTGTTTTTGCACACACACGGAGCGTGAAGCATTTGTCACCCGTTTTGCACACATGTGCCAGCTTTTGGACCATAAACGACTGTCCCTTTCTCAGCCTACTTGTGCCATGTTTTTCCACATTTTTGCACTTTCTGCTGTGATTCTGCCACTTAAAATGGACCCAAACAAATAACTGAAGTGTTTTCTAATGTCCCCAGGTGCAAGTGTCCCCAAGTGCAAAAAAAGATTGTCCTGTGCCCCAAGGGGGGGGAAAAAAAAACATACATTCCACGCTTTGCTCAGACAGGAGCAAAAGTGCCGTTGGCCATGGAGTTTGAGGTTAAAGAATCAATCATACATATTAAATTAGGGACTTTAAAAATAAATATACAAAAAATAAGATAAGCACTGATCAACAGACAAATACATCGTGGTTGGAAGTTCACGGACATCTAACTGTATTTTCCCTAGAAGCAGTGGTTCGGTGACTGCAGCAACTTTACAGGACATAACTATTGGGGATAATGAGGATCGACTGTGTGTGCGTTACCAACATAACTGAAATGCCTGCGTTGACTACATTCCACGGTGGCCGCCCGTACGTTCTCACTGTCCACACACGTTGCTTTCCCATGAAGAGATGGAGCTTATGACCTGGGTTGCTTTAACCAGCAGAGCCTGCTGGCTTCCTAGCCAAGTCAGTAAGAACACTGGCAGCTCCTTCTCCCTCCTTGGGAAGCTCCCTCCTTCTTAGAGCCCGGAGCTGCCATGTCCAGGCTCTGTCCTGGAACGACAGGCCGTGGGGAGACACCACGGGGGCAAGCACTGAGGGGTGCGATAGCCCCAGCAGCAGCCCCAAGCAAGGCCAGAGAGCCCTGCCTAACCCAGAGAGACGACACAGTGAGACCAGCCCCCGGGCTGCTATGCGGAACATCTGCCCAGCAGAGTTCACCTGGGAAAGTCTGATAAGGCAGCCTCATGAGCCAGCGGTGCCAAAGACAGCCCTCCAGAAAGATGAAGGAGGAAGGCGGGCGACTCACGACACACAGACAAAGCAGAGTGTGAGCCGGGCAGGTGAGCTGACCCCCTCCACAGGGCACGCACCTGAGGGCTGCGTCGGCTCCCGGTACTCTCCGCTGCTGATCTGCCGGATGAGGTTTTTGTGATCGAAACCATCGAAGGGCATCGTTCCGTAAACCAGGGTGTAAAGCAACACGCCCAGGGCCCAGCTGTCCACCTGGAGCAGAGAAACAGGACACAGAGGAGCTGAGAAACCGTTTCCTGGGATGCGTTCCAGACCATCAGCATCACAGCATGAGAGAAGTCACCCCCAGTGCCCCCAGGAACTGAATGTAGCCCCTGGCAGACAGGATCCCACCACAGCCTGACAACTGATCCTAATGCAGGCCTGACCTATTGAAGAACTTTCCTAAGTAGGTTATCTTCTTTGATCCTCAGTGTAGTGAGGCAAGTAGGGCTTGGATTATTCTCAGTCCCATTTGACAGATGAGAATACAGAGGCACAAGGCAGCTACAAGGTTTCTCCAGGGGGTCAAACCGGGACATGTGACTCTTCATTCCTAATATGGGAATCAATTCCTTCCTGTTTCTTCTTCCAATGGATTGGGGAGGCTTCCAGTGGAAATTTTTACAAGAGTCAGGCACACAACCAACATGAACAGAGGAAGAAAGAATTTGGGGTACAATGCACAGTGCTGGAGATACACTCACTGTAGAGGGCACCCACCCATCTCGGATAGGCCACCTCTCCTTGGATCACTGCTGCCATGTAGAAATGAGGGCCCACCACCACCACCACCACCTTCTGTTTTCAAAGAGAAGTAAGAAACCATACTTCTCTATGAAATCTCCCAATTATTAAATGTCTGTTCAATTTTTTATCAGGACAAATGTGGCCAAATAAAGCCAGATCAGAGATCGCCAGCTTGTAACCTCGGATACCGATCATCACCAAAGCAGCATTCATTGCCTAAGATAAATTTACAGCATTGAGTTTCTGCAATTTTGTAAACTAAACCCGATGCTCCTCCCTTACAGTCTAGTTTTAAAAGACTTTCTCTTCGGGAATTGGTGGAGACACTGGTATCCTTCTCTTCACCCCTCCCCCCAGCCCTGCCCCAAACACTCTGGAATAGATAAATATTTAGAAAAAAACATTTCCACACACTGAGCAGCTGCTATTTAAAGGATATTAAGTGGATGAACCTCTCTGTAAAGAGAAGCATCTTAAAAGAGAATCATCACCCACAACTAACCTACTTTCAAAATAACCATTTTATACGTATACATCTTGCAGCAGCCCTGAAAGCTTTAGGCATACAGAGGAATACATCTCTCCTGAAATAGAAGATGCCATTAAAACATATTTCCTAAGTGAAATACATGTCCTGCTGTTGGCGGGACTGTAAATTAGTACAACTGCTATAGAAATCAGTGTGGAGGCTCCTGAAAGACAGGCATGGAATCACCATAGGACCCATCTGTCCTACTTCTCAGTATCTATCCTGAAGAAGGAAAGTCATCTTACTACAGTGACATCCATGCTTATAGCAGCACAATTCACAATAGCCAAACCATGGAGCCTGTCTAGGTGTCCATCAACAGGTGAACGTATAAAGAAAATGTGGTGCATATACACAATGGAGTCTTATTCAGCCATAAAGAAAAATAAAATTATGACATTTGCAAGAAAATGGATGGTATTAGAGACCATCATGTTAAGCAAAATAAGTCAAACTCAGAAGGTTAAAGGTTCCTGTTTTCTCTGATATGCAGAAGCTAGAGAGGAAAAAGGAAAACAAACGTGGAGGTGGCTCTCCAATAAATCAAAGGGGAGATCAACAGAGGAAAGAAACCAAGAATGGGTGGTGGAGGGTGGGGAGCGCTGGGGAGGGATACTGGTCAAATTACTTTGTCATATTGTGTGCACGTGTGAATACGTAACAACAAATCCCCAAAATATGTAGAAGTGTAATACATCAATAAAAAAAAATGTGGAAAAAAAAGAAAAAAGAAAGAAATACTTATGCTATTAAAAATATGTGCAAAATAATATTCACTTGAAGAGTCAGGAAATTCTTCTTTCTTTGTTCATTTGTTCTATTTGTTTTGATACAATATGGAAAAGCTGAATATCCAAATCAAGGGGAGATTATTAAATATAATATGTCATATTCATACTATATGACATTATGTTGTACAAATCATTTTTTAATGATAATATATTTGGAAGATGTCACAATACAATTTTAAGTTAATAAAAGGTAAGATAGATTATATATGTCACATTATGGACATCTTGCCCTTTATTAACTTGATCTCAACTATTTTTAGATGATCCCAATTATTTCTGTGATCTTAATTATTCTTGAAGTGCAGAGGTCTACACTGTAAAACTCTATTTTCTCTGCTGCTCTTCTGGGTTCTTAAAGAATTTCCCAGATCCAGTGCTTGCCTCACCCCCTGTACACCAGGCAGCCTGCTTACCTCTGGCCCTCGGTAAGGCCTCCCATTGACGATTTCAGGGGATGCATAGAGGGGGCTCCCACAAAATGTTTGCAAGAACTTGTCCTTCTGGTACAGGTTGGAGAGCCCAAAGTCAGCAATCTATAAAGAGAAGAAGACCCAACAAGACTTGTTAGCATTGGCCATCAGTTCAAACCAGTTTCAACCAGTTCAAAAGAGAGCAGATGAGGGCACAGGGGCCATTTCCTCTCTAGTCCTGAGTCTCCATCCAAGGACAATTGGGCCAAGGTTTCCCAGGCCACAGCACCCATTACCAGCTCCACCACATCTGCAGACCACATGCTCTGTTACTTACAATAAAATATTTTTTTTAAATATTTTTTATTTTGTTTATCTATCACTGAGGATCAAACCCAGTGTCTCACATGTGCGAGGCAAGCGCTCTGCCACTGAGCCACAACCCCAGCCCTACAATTACTCTTCATATGGATTCTCCATTGAACTTGAGACTTGCTCTGAGAAATAACTCCCACAAAGTCACCTACTTAATATTTCTTACGAACATTAAAGCATTTATAGCTCCCCCACCACCTGTGAAGAACATGTTCCAAGACCCCCAGTGAATGCTAAAACCTGAGACAGCACCAATATATAAATATATTTACCCCATAAATATATACCTATGGTAAAGTTTAATTTATAAACAGGCACAAAAAGACTTTAACAATAATATCTAACAATAAAATAGAACAATTATAAAAATATACTGTAATAAGATTAATTGCCAGCATCATATTCTTGTATTCTGGGGCCATGATTAAGTAAAGTAAGGGTCATTTGACACAGACATTTCAACACTACAATAGTCACTGTGATAAATAAGATGGCTACGTGACTGATGGCTGGGTAGCATATACAGTGTGGATCCACTGGACAAAGGCATGATTCACTTCCCAGACAGGATACAAATGGACGGCAGAGGATTTCAACACAATACTCAGAATGGCACATAATTTTAAATACACAAAATTGTTTATTTCTGGAATTTTCAATGTAATGATTTTGGACCCTGATTCACTGTAGGTAACTAAAACTGTAGAAAGTGAAACCCTGAACGAGGGGAGATTATTGTATGACTATTAATTTAAAAATTGTCTCTCCATGGTCTATCCCAAATCACACTGCATCCGTGGTGGTATGGGCGTCACACTGTGGGAAATTCTGACCTACACAACTGAGAGCACTATTTATCCACCCACACTCGGATCAGAGCTCTATTTGACCCAATATAAAGTGCACACAGAGCATCAGGCTTTGAGTCCTCGTATTTCAGCCTAAACTCTGTCACTGAGCAGGTTACTCAGCAACTCTGAACCTCTGCTGAGCCACCAGAAAATAGGAATCCATGATCCTACCCTGTTCTAGCTCATGGAATTAATGTGAGAATAAGAAAGCAAGTCAAGACCTTGAGAACAAAAGTGCTTCATAAGCCGCAAGTTTTGTGCACGTGTCTTACTTCACGTCACATCAGTTGTACCGCACGCTTCTTGGGATCATTCTCTTCTCTGGTTTCTGGGAGTGTTTTCTTATCTTTACAGTTGCACTTCCACATGTAATTATGTACATATAGAGCATGTGGACACATATATACACACGTACACATCTGTACACTATACACACGTATATACACCTACATACACATATTGGCCTTTCCCACCAGACTCTGAGTCCCCTGGGGCACTTGGCAGGTGCCACATCTTCCCCTCATCTCTGTAATCACCCAGTGCTTAGCACCTGTCCCTACCCAAGAAACACTGGCCACCAAGCATTATATTTTGAACAGTGCACATTCTACTTTGAAAATCACAAGCTAATTAACAGATAATGCAAAAAGATAGTAATAATAATAATAATAATAATAATAATAATAATAATAATAATAATAAAATTAACTGCTTATTGAAGAAATCATGATTCACAGGCACTGTTGTATTCTCTAATCCTATCAAAACCAGACTCATACAACAATGTGAATGTCCTCCATGCTGCTGAACTGTACAGACAAAAATACTTTTAAACAGTCAGTTTTACATTATGGATATTGTGCCACAATTTAAAAGAAGGAGTTGAAGTTCTCCTTCTAAGAGGTAACTGGTAAGCGGCAATGTAAACACCTGTGTCTCTGGGCCACGCTGCCCTGGGGCTACCTGCACATTTCAAGTCAGACTTGCACACAGAGTCCCCATGGGTTTCTGCCATTCCCCAGGCTGGTTTCCACTGGAGGCTTATAAGTAAGATGAGTGACTCGCGTGCCCGGAGAACAGCCCAGCCTGAACACCACTGAGGCTCTGTTCTGAAAGAAGCCCCTAGAATAAGCCCATTTTGTTAAAAAAAAAAAAAAGTCATCCTTGAATGAATGGAATGTCATTGAAAGCAGCTGGTGTACAGCCACCCTCAGAAAACACATTCTCGGGGCTCAGATTGCACTTAATTGCCCCGAATTCCACTTTCTTATCAAGGCCCCTGACTCGCTCGCAGGAAGTAGGTTGGGAGCTTTATGAAGTGTGCCCTGTCAATCAGAAGAGGAATGGAATGAGTGCAGTCCTGGGGATCCCAAGAGGTCCCCAGGCTTCAGCCTCGCTCTGGCTGCAGCCACAGCGGAGCTCACGGGGCCCGGGGCACGTAGGCGCTTCCAAACACACGTGTGTTTGAGAGGCTCCCGCAGCACACGTGCAGCTGGCACCGAACCGGGAGGTTCCGGCGGGTCTGGGCACCCTTGTTGCTGGGCCGGAGAGTGTGTTTACGTTGTGGCCCACTCCCATCCTCACAGACTGATGTTTATCAGCCTCTCCTGTAAAGCTGTCATGACTGCTGACACAAGATTAATAGAAATCTAGATTAGCCCATGTTCTTGGCACTTGAACGGAAAAGCAGAATTAATCAACACACACACAGAGTTCTCAAACCCTGAGCCAGTCAAACGTGGGCTTTAGCTCCAAGATTTAATGCTACATGGAGCTTACAGGACCCATGACCAGAGGGGATGCAGCCACTGGTTATGAAACCTCTAGAAGCCTCAGTTTCCTCATCGGTAACATGGGGGCAGGAAAATCATCCACCCCGACAGTGACGTGGCGAAGCCGACACAAAGTTCATAAAATGTTTACAGTAGTAACTGGCACAGAATTGGAACTAAATGAATATTTGCCTCCCACCTTTAAATCCAGAAAGTTAATGTATTTGACACAGAGCTTATCCCAATATCAGAATAGCCACAGAATAGAGAAGGTTAGGTGTCAAACCATCACAGAATTAAGCAGCTTTGAATTGCAAAATGATACATTAATCATTGCTGGGTTCTCTTTCTGTCCTTTGACCTCAGGTGGGCCACAGAGGGTCTGGAGCCCCTCCAGAGAGGTGTCAGAGAGAGCAGGCCTCTGCCTCACAGCAACCGGATCAAGCTGGAATTTAATGATGCTCTTTGGTTTCTGTTATATTTATTTTTGAACGTGTCTTCTATTCCTAACAGGTGATACTGGTTTTTCCACCACAAGTAATTAATTAGGGTTTTTCCTCAATAAATATCACTTGAAAGCACCACCTGAACTCAGTGAAAACACTAAGTCAAATTGCAGAAAGGATATTAGAAAAGGCAGAGGGAAGGGAAAAGCTGAAGTCCTGGAAACATTCAATGTCAACGGAAGAAGACAGAAACAATCATCCCAGAACTGGTTTCCACATGAAAGGGCCCTCATGATGCTCATCCTGACTTTTGCTCTGGAAATGAAGCAGCGGAAGGTTCAGGGTCCTAGGATGCTTTGCTGAAGGTCACAAAGAAGAAAACCAAGCACCAGAACATGGGGGTCGCCGCTTTCCAGGTTCTCTGTGACAGAACGTGAGCTGTGTGTCGAGGGGACTCCCAGCAGGGAAGCCACCAGGCTCTGCTTGAGAGCAGCGCCTTGCGCACCTTGGCGGGGTCTGCAGAGAGGTACCAGCTGTGCCCGCGCTTGTGCGGCCTGTACCCTGCCTGGTCCTGGTTCAGAGCCTCCTGGATCTATGAGTGGCGCTGCCCATCCACCTCTCACTCTGCAGAGGAATGGGAAAGTCAAGGCCCCTGGCCCGAATTTTAGAAGCTTTAATTACTACCAATCCTCGCTAGAGGGGTGCCCAGCTCATGAAGCTCGGAGTTTAAAAGACAAATTAGGGAGTGATTTGTCACATTTCAAAAGGATTAACCTCGATAGAACCCAGGGGCACCCTGCAGACAGGGCACAAGTGAAACAAGCCAGATGCAAAGAGACACATAGTGTCTGATCCCATTGATATGAGGTCCCTCGAGCGGACGAATTCAGAGAGGGAGAAAGCACAATGGTGGCCGGTAGGGCGGCAGGGAGCAGAAGGCTCAGTGCTCGATGGGCGTGGAGACTCAGCCATGCAGATGGACCACGGGGCAGCGATGGTCACACAAGGGTGTCAACCTGCTTCATGCCCTGTGCCGTGCACCTACAGACAGTAAGTTTTATGCTACCTGATGTATATTTTACCACCATAAAAAAAGGATTAACTGCAGATCACTGCGAATAACGAGCTCACCTGGTAAGAAAGGGAGCATCAGCTTGTTAATACTGACAGCCAATAAAGGGAGGTGCTCACAACAGACGCAACAGCCTGACAGCCACTTGTAGTGTCTAAGAGGAAGTGTTGTGGCACTTGACCTACCAGAACCAGGGGACCCTGGGGCTAGCCTCGGCCTCATCATTCCTAGGTAATCAGTAGGACCTGCTAGGCCACTTGACTTCCCCTTCTGCAAAATGGGACTCATGACAGAACTCGGTTCATAAAGGTGTTGAGTGGGCTGCAGAATATGCGGGTAAGGCCTGTGGCACAATCTTGGCACCGGCTGACTGTGAATTATAGACATCGCAATAATACCGATGGTTGTACTGACTTAGCCACTGTTTGCTGAGCAGGGCAAACTCTGTACTGAAAGCACTAGAGCCACAGAATATTATCATTACCCATGTGTCGGGACATGCCTGTGTAGTAGGTCGGGATGGAGAGCTTTAGGACCTGGGTTCAGATCCCAGCCTCACCTCTTACCAAAGCTAACCTGCAGCACGTCAGTCAATCTGCCCTGCTCC